ATCAGTTTATGTTGTTCATTATATTCCACAAATGAGTGAGATCATGTGATATTTATCTTTCTCCGACTGGTTTATTTCACTTAGTACAATGCTCTCCAGGCCTATCCGTGCTGTTGCAAATGGTAGGAGTTCCTTCCTTTTTATTGCAGCATAGTATTCCATTGTGTAGATGTACCACAGTGTTCTAATCCATTCATCTGCTGATGGGCATTTAGGCTGTTTCCAGATCTTAGCTATGGTGAATTGTGCTGCTATGAACGTAGGGGTGCATATGTCCTTTCTGATGGGTGTTTCTGGTTTCTTGGGATACATTCCTAGAAGTGGGATCACTGGGGCAAATGGGAGTTCCAGTTTTTAAATTGCCTTGTATTCTGTCCTCCTGAACTCAGGTAAGATCAACCCGTATAAAAGCCACATGAGGAAAAAGTTCTCTGACATATGGCAGAACGAGACGTGCCTGGCGGTGCCGGAGAGCTTCCACGCGGAGTCCACCAAGACTGAACACGAGAGTCTGAGCGAGGCGTTTGCGGCCGACAAGGTGGGCGAGCACTCAGTCACGGTGGGCCTGGGCAGCGCGAAGGGGACCGGGAAGACCACGCTGCTGAGGAAGGTGATGCTGCAATGGGCCGAGGGCAACCTCTGGAAGGGCCGGTTCACCTTTGTCTTCTTCCTCAACTGCTGCGAGATGAACAACATCATCAAGGAGATCAGCCTGGTGGGCCTCCTCTCCAGGGACTGGCCCGAGTCTTCCGAGCCCATCCACGACGTCTTCTCCCAGCCCGAGAAGATCCTGTTCATCATAGACGGCTTGGAGGACCTGAAAGTCGACATCGGCCTGGACAGCGACCTGTGCAGCGACTGGGAGCAGCCGCGGCCGGTCCACGTGGTCCTGCGGAGCCTGCTGCAGAGGACGCTGCTGCCAGAGGCCTCCCTGCTGGTCTCCCTGATCGGGGAGTGGCTCAGGAAGTTCAACCACCTGCTGCGCCACCCGGTGTACGTCTACCTCCCCGGGTTCTCGGGCCACCTCAAGTGGCTCTATTTCTCCCGGTTCTTCCAGGACACGGACCAGGCCGCCCAGGCCTTCAGTGTGGTGAGAGGCCACAAGCCACTGTTCACCCTGTGCCAGTACCCCCTGGTGTGCTGGCTGGTGTGCGAGTGTCTGAAAAAGCAGCTGCAGAGATGCCAGCCCCTGGAGGTGAACGCCCAAACCACCACGTGCATCTACTCCTCCTTCCTCACCAGCGTGTTCCAGCCGGAGGGCACGGGCTGGGCGCCGGGCCACTGCCACAGCCGCCTCA